CATTTTGTACTGCATTATAGTTCTCTTCAGCATCATCTGGGCTTTTCCTACCATGCACCTCAGAACTCCAAACTCTTAGCATTCCATTCCCCATTTTTAATGTATTTGTCACACGCACCCACTGTTCAGAGCCGAAGTCTGTGTTACTGCTCTAATGCTACTAACGCTACTATAAGAAAGTGCTCCAAAGTAGGTGACGAGGAAGGCACAGACTGGAGTGGCCACCTGCAAGCCAAGTGTCATCAGAGGTGGTGGCAACAAGCCACAGGCGAGCTTCTTCCTCGCGGGAGAAGGGGAGCAAGGTGGTACCGACACCTTGATTTTGGACTTGTAGCTTAGAGAGGTGTGGGGGAATAAATTCCTGCTGTTAAACCACTGAGGTCAGGTTTTCTTTTAAAACAGCCACCAGGAAGCTAAATAGGAAATTAATATACTGTTAATAAACTGGAAATTAATGTATTTCCTAAACAGGAAAGTAATAGGCAGATTAAATTAATATGTTATAAGCCTTGCTTTTAACTTTTTCTCCTCTATATTCAATATGCTGTGCTTTCTAGTAACTTCTCCTTTTCCCTCAAACCTTGACAAGGCATCACATTAATGACTGTATTTTCTGCTGTTCCTGCTTGCATTTCTAATCACTGAGGTGTGGTAGAGTACTCACAGCTTGGCATTTCCACCAACTCCTTTCCTAACTACTACTCTTGTGTATGCTCTATCTTTCTAAGAAGAAGCCCCCTTCTGTGTTCGACTCCTGGTCCAACTGGGCTAGAGACAGAAACTGCTCCCATGGAGATAAGCTTCAGCAACGTAGGCTCTACCGGGATGTAAGTCTGCACAACTGCAAATATCACATTGATTTACTCATTAAATATCAATTTTGAGCACACCCTCTTCCAGATACCGTGCAAATATCTACATAGCTGGCTTTAGAACATTTAATCAATGCCAAAAAGCCCACGTTGTGTCCACTGTAGAAACACCCGTGACTGTCTTACCTTGCCCAGAGCCGTCCTTTCACAGGTACCTGCTGTGCCAATGACCTCCCAGTGCTTGCTTCCTCTCTTTCTTACTGGTCCACGTCATGAGAACCTCGCAAGACCGTAGCTCACTTGCTACATTCAATGTCTGTCATTCTTTAGGCAGTTTGTTCGAATTCTCTGTGCTGCACTGTAATAGCTTCAAGAGGTCTATGATAGTACAGGACCTTCTGTTGCCTTGCACGTTATGAGGACAGCCAGGACAGACTCAACTTGAGGAAACAGACAGGAACAACTGTGCATTACTATTACCAGTGGAGGAGGAACCTGCCTTCTCATGGGGAAGGTATGTTAAGGAGTTACTTCTATACCTGTAGGAAATATGCCTACAGGACCTGTGACCAACCAGCTTGAGCTGTATCTTTCCTGCCACATGACCCGTCTTGTTTTTACTTACTTAGGAATTGACAAAGATAGCTTAAGTTAGTCTGATCCAGCATTTCTTAGCAGATGATGTTGGGGCGAAAGTGTTTTGCTGCCATGTAAATTAAGGGGTGAACAAGGCCAGCGTCCATGAGGACACAGGGGAGATCACACTCCGCCCCAGATAGCTGTGTCAGAGCTGGTTGCTGGGTCTGGCTTCAGCTCCTCTTGTTTCTTTCCATTTATTGGTGAAGGATGCCTTTGGATTTGACCTCTACTTTCGCCTGGAAACAGGGCAGGAGTCGCAGTGTTTTGCTTGTTGTTGTCCCGACGTATGACTGGATGTGGTTCAGGGTAAGTTAACAGGTAGATATGCCTTTCTGACCTTGCTTGTATCTGAGAACCTCTCAATTCCCCCAACTTTACCCTGCTAAGGCAGTAAGATAAAGTCAGCCCTTGGTTTGGATTCCATTTCTACAACTTAGTAGCTGTGAGTTGTATTTTGTTTCTCGCCAAGTTAATCTTTCTGAGGCTCATTTCCTTGTGCTAAACTGAGGACAGTGGGATTGGGCCACAAGTCCAGGTGAAGAGTTAGCACTTGGAGGGCTCACAAAGGAGAGCTCTGATCACCTTTCCATTGCCTTCTCCTGTTTATTGACCGTGGCACTTTCACATGAAAGCAAGCATTTTTAAGTGGAATTTGGAAGTAAAAGACAAGGACCATTGAAGGGAAATTAAGCACGGTGACAGCTGGGAGACCTCATGAACACATGTGCGGTTCTCCACATGCCCAGCATTCACAGGTCCACGACCCTGAACTCAGAGCCCGTTCCAGGACATTCACTTTCCAGTCAGTCATTCTTTCAACTACCTCTTCTCTCTTTCCTTTTTCTCTTCTCCTTCCTTCCCTTTTCCTTCCCCTTCAAAACTTTTTCCGAACACACCTTACAACACATATAAATAAGCAAGTTTTTACCTCCAAAATTGAAAAAGACAATGTGATGCTGTATGAAGACTACAGTATCACTTTGAATGCTATTTCTGCTACATGTAGTTTTTTTTACCTTAAACATGTTGCATATCTCTATGAATTCTAGTGTCCTCACTTAACAGTGCCTATAATTTTATTGGTTTAAACAAGTTTTTGAAAGGGAAAGATATACTGCACAAAATACACTTGAAACATTCTCTCTCCTAAATCTGGAAGGAAAAATGTTAGCTCTTACTACAAGTATTACTAATAGTATAAAGATATAAATTATTTTGACTGAGAGATTTTTGAGACAAAACTTTCCTGATTTTCTTCTTCTAGGACAATAGATGGATGAGGAAAAAACTAATGATATTTTGAAAATGGAATATGTGTATTAAAACATAGTAGATATTAAATCTTAGGTATTAAAATATATTTAAAAGAAATATAATGAAATCAAATATATAAGTTAAATATAATTATATGTATATT